AATAGCACAAAAGCAGTTGCCTCCAGACCAATATGTCTGAATTTTATCAAAACTTACACAAAAAGCTACTCTTCGACCAGTTCGATACTGAAGAAAGTTTCAGAAAAGATGACACTTTATTGTGTGACCTCTTTAACTGATGGAACTGAGGAAACAATGCAAACTTCGATCTCAATAGAGAAATTACAAGATCGTACAACATCAGGTGAATTGATATCAGCGGCTACAGCAACCGCGTCATGCGTTCTACTATCCCAAGTTAACTAGGGTTAGCGGAAGTATGTCCTGCCATTAAAAAGGCGGTATTGACCTACTTTTTGAAGAGAGGAAAGGATTCCCTCGTGTTATTTTTAACTCGGCTACAATTGCGTAAGAGACGCCTACGTCAATCAAGAAGAGAAGTGATTTCCGGCCGTGACTTCACACAATTTGTACTGTTTTTTTCTATAAAAAAAAAATGTTTTCGGTTTTAAGCCGTACACTCAAATAGACCGTCATTTACCGCTCGGTGGTGTCCGCAATTGAAATAAAAGTTTTCTATATTTTTATGTCGGCTGAGCTTGGTCTTGGGATCGAGCCCACGATGAGTTAAAAAATTACTTTCTAAGTTCGTCTCTTTACCCTAAAAAAACATTGTTGGCCTCCTTTGGTGTAAGGTATAAAGCTTATATTGGAGTTTTGGTTTACTTCTATTTTTTAATTTTTTTTTTTTTATATTTTTTAATTTTTTAATTTCTGATTTGTGTGGCATGCAACATTTCTTGCACTTCATTTTCGTTTTTTTTTTTTAAATTTAATTTAGTCTTTTTTAACTTTCGCTTGCTTTTTACAATTTCTGTATTTATTTTTATTATTCTTTTTTTCTTGTCCAGCGATGTTGCAACTTTTCCTACAGCAAACAAACAAACGGAAGCTCAAAATGCCATGCAACAACAACCGGCAACAGCATATTCTACTAATTAATTGTACTTTGTATACAACTTTGTTGTCAAGCATATTTTTTCCGTTACGATTGTTCTTGCCTCTTCTTATGAATTTGTTGCCATTTCATGGTCATAGAGGCAACAAAAAAAATGTGTCTATGAGTGTGTGTATGCCATGGCATCAAGCAGGCTTTTAAAAAAATGAATTGCATAGTCGAGTGCACTCCGCTGCAAGAATACACGTATGTATTTGTTTATGTATATGTATGTTTATGCAGTAAGTGGGCGGCTAGGTATTCATAGTTAGGTGGATTTGGTGGAGTTCCATGAATGAGAGACAGAAAAGTGGACGCAACAAGCCATAAAATGCTGATGTAGTTTTTATGCCACTCCACACGATTATCGTTGTTTCTGTTCTTGTTGTTGCTATTATTACTGCCTGATGCTGACTGCCATGCAATGCTGTCTGTTACAATTGTCCACACACACAACCAGCTCATATATAAAATTAACATATTTACACACATATATATGCATATGTGTGCATTTATTCATATAAGCATTTATCTCCATATCCTGGTTCAGTTACTCTTCAGAAGCTTAATTTTCACATACGCCTACATATGCACATATGCACATATGTAAATGCATACAAATCTTCATTCGCCATATTCATATATGTATGTATTTATGCGCATGCATGAGTTTGTACATCCGTTTTAACTTCTATTTTGCATTTTTTTTCCTTCTCTTCTGCAGATTAGCCGCCTTTTTCAACCAACCAAGAAATAAAAACTAAAATATTAAAAAAAAAATGGAAATGGAAAATTTATATTTTAAGTTACTATATGTACGTATATTACATCTATTCATATGTCTATTTACAACTGTGATGTTGTTCGAGGTTCGAGGTTCGTTAACCTCTTTTAGTAAAGGCCAATGAATCTGTACACAAGGACAAAAAGTGGCATAAAAGAAACTGTTAAGAGATTGAAAAATTCGAGGCAAAAATGTATTCTTAAAATTATTTTAATGTCTACTGCAAAAGCGGGTTCGACCTTGGTCACATCGTCTTCCTTCACTTTCCATGAATTTGTTTCGTTGAGTAATAAACTGTTAGCAATTTTTACTGTACCGCATACGGTGAGACAAAAACTGCAATAAATTCGCGCCGAGAGATCGAAATTTACACATTTCGTTACGGTCAAATTCTTACTGAGCTTTTCTCTATAGAACTACTGTTAAAATCTGAAAAAGCTTGTCAGTGGTCAGTAAAGCTCAGGAATGATCAGAGACTTTTAATGGTATTTCTTTGTTGCGGACACACGGAGGTCCAGAATCACTGGTTTTAAACATAGCTATCCACCTACATAAGTGCTCTTGGCCATGTCGACCTATTCGAAAAATGGCTTTTGTCGTTACATTGGCATAAATTAGCTGGAAAAGAATAAAAAAAAATTTTTACTTAAATTAAAGTAAAATATAATAATTTTAATTAAAATAAAAGGATTAAAATGAAATAAATTAAAACAAATTGAATAAAACGGCGATAAATAATTAAAATTAAAAAAGTAATAAAAGAAATTTACACAAAATAAGATAAAATTAATTAAAAATAAAATGTAATTTTATTAAAACAAAAAATAATAAAACAATACAATAAAACCAAAATGAGCAAAAAAAAATTTTAAATAAATTAAAGCAAACTTAAACTAAAAAAAAGAAATAAAACAGTTTTACACAAAATAAGAAAAAATTTAATAGAAAGTAAAGTAAAACAAATCACCATAAAAGAAAAAAGGAAAGAATACAACTAAGTTATGTTAAAATAAATTAAATTAAAATAATTTTATTAAATTTAAATAAAATAAATTGAAAAAAAGAATTTAAAATAAATTAAAACAAATTAATTTGAAATGAAATAAAATAAAATAAAATACAATATTTAAAACTAAATAAAATATGCTACATAATAAAAAGTTAAATTAAGTTACCTTTAATAAAATAAACAGCCTAAAACAAACAAACATTAAAAAAATGGACAACCCTAATTTTGTGTGCGCACCCTAACGAGCCTTCATCAGCGCATGCAGCTATATAAGCCTTGCTTGTCAAGCAAAAGATGAGATTTTCTAATCAACTACCATCAAGCGCGCACCGGAGTGATAAATAATAAAAAAATATAAAAATAATTACATTACATATACAAAAAGCGGACATTGGATAAAAAATATATTTTGTCATCAAACAAAAAATAAGATAGTAATAAAAGATTTGTATTAAAAATTAAATAAAACATTAAACAATTTAAATTGAAAACGCGAGTGGCTTTTTTTTCGAAGGAACTCGCGTAAATAAAGTAAACAATAAATTAAAAACATTTAGGACAAAATTAAAAAATTTGAATTAAAATAAAATGAATTAAAAAAAACATAATTAAACAAAGTAACATAAAACAAACTAAATAAATTAAAATTAAATTAAATAATATAACTATTGTAAAAGCGAATTAAAACTTAAATATATAGACTATATAAAAAAAAAATATTAAACTGAATAAAACACTATAGAAATATTATATTAAATGTAATAAAATTAAATAAGCTAAAACAAAAGTTTATTATAAAAGCAATTAATAATAAAGCAATTAATACTAATAAAAAATTAAGAGAAAATAAAATAGTTTGAACTAAAATAAAAAAAATAAATTTATTACTAAGTATGAAATACAACAAATAAAACAAAATGAAATAAATTAGAGAAGATAAAATAAAAGTAAATTAAATTTAATTTAATTTGTTGAAAGATAAATAAATTCAAATGAATAAAGAACTAAAAGTTAAATATTTGAATAGAATAAAGATTAAAGTAGAATAAAACAAGTTCAGATAAGAAGTTTAACTCCAAAAAACTAAATTAAAAAAACTAAGTAAAATTCAATAAAGTAAAATAAAACAAAATAAAATTAAATAAATAAAAAAACTAATTTAAAATTGACCAATAAAAAATATTTAAAAATAAAATTATAGTAATTAATTAAAATTAAATGAAATATGCCTTATAAGAAAGGTTTAATAAAATTATTCAAAGTCATATAAAAAAATAATAAAGTAAGTTAATATAAATAAAAAAATATATAAAATTAAAATAAATTGAGTAAAAATAAAGTACAATAAAATTAAGTCAAATAAATAATTTAAAGCAAAGTATGAATATAATAAAACCAAACAACATAAAATAAAATAATATAAATAAAAAAATTTTAATAAAATAACATTCAATATAAAAATAAAAATAATGCAATAAATTAAATAATATTAATAAAAGAAAAATTAGCAATATAAAAAGAAAAAAAATTAAGCGAAATCAAATAAATTTAATTAAATTAAGAGATATTAAGTAAAATCAAGAAAATAAAATAAATTAAAGTTAACTAAAACAAACTAAAATAAATAACAAAAAATAATGCAATCAAATAAATTAAAATAAACATTACAACAATATAAAATAAATTATGAACAAATAATTAATTCACTATTAAGTAACATGAAATAAAACCAAATAAAGTAATTCGCTTATATTAAAATATATATATATATATATATGAAACTTATACCTAAATTAAAATGAAATACATAAAAATAATTTAAATAACAATTAAATAAAATAAATAAACAAAAACCCAAGAATACGTCAAAACTCCCCAAGAAACTAACGTAGTGACCGCTCATTCCAAGCTCATAAATAAAACTGAATATACCATGCGACGACTATACGAAATAAACGATGATATTGCTCCTTACTGGATAAAAATGGTCACTTCAGCGCATGTCTATTTCCCCATAAAGCACACACAACAGCAACAAAAAAAAACTGTTAAAAATTGCATGACCACCCTTAAGGATTTACCAATGGAGGGTGGCGCTTAACGCGTTACAACATAACATACCATTGTACGCGATGCCAACAAAGCTGAAACGTAGAACAACCAACTGTTGCACACTCACCATATATATACAGGGTGTGACCGCCTACTTCTGCTTGAATAAATAATGAAAAGAAATGAAAGATTTATTACTGATTTTTATTTTTGCGTGCACATTTTTATTAATATGTAATCGAGGGAAATACATCAGTTTTATTGAAATGTGACAATTTGGGAAATACTACAATGCAAACCCTAATTTGAATAAGATTACATATATAATTTTTTTTATTTGAAATTTAAAAATGCAGCGTAACTAATCCTAAACAGCACGTGAAAATATGCTTTTGTCAATTAAAAGAATACCATTTTTGCAAAATTAAAAAGAGCTATGATCTAAGGGAAATTTTTAAGCTTTTAGGAATTGCTTTTGTTACTGTTTGACCAGCTTAGAAGTTCAATCTAATCGTAAATAGCTCCAATACGGAGATGCCAGGCTTGCGTATAGCGACACCTTCTTCGTGTGGTAGAACTTCGAGGTCCTGTGAGACTCCACCAACGATAAGAGTAGCCGACTTGGGTGTACGATCCAAACCAGCTATAACAACACGTTCAATCCAAGCTGTAGTCTTGAAATTTGGTTTACTCTTGAAGTTTACGTTCAATTGACCATTCTCGAATTCAAATAGAAGATAATTGAATTCGCCTTTACGATAAGCGTATGATTTCTCATCGTCGATATAGAGTGTACCCTGGGCTTTACCAGCGCGATCCAAGCACACAACCAGAGTATATGGATCATTTTTCATGAGTGTTGCAGCACGACGTATACGTTCCTTTTTGGGTATAATAGTACCGCCACGTTGGAAGACAGGAATCTATGAAATATAAATAAATAAAAAAAAAAACATTACCTGTAACAAAATCTATTTTTTAATTCTTCCAACAACTTACTGTACGGCTGTCGACGGGTAAACTCTCATAGCCTGCATTTGTATACTTCTTCAGTGTATTAATATCATACCAAACATCACCAGTCTTCTTATCATCAGTGGATGGGAAGTAAACATTCACTTTGCTCGCGCCACGATCCATCACTGGACGCACAAGCAAGCGATCCTGCAGCAAGAACTCATAATCAATATTGTACCCCTCCTTATCCTGTGGATAATGTGCAAGCAGTGGTCGCATAACGGGTTCGCCAGTCATTTCATGTTCATAGAACATTGTGTACCATAATGGCAAGAAAGCGTAACGTTTGCGAATTGCATCGCGTACAATCAAACGTGTATCTTCTGGGAACAACCATGGTTCACGACGTTTCGTATCGATGTGAGCATGACCACGGAAGAATGGTAAGAAAGCACCGGTCTGATACCAACGTGCAAATAACTCAGCATCAGGATTACCAAAGAAGCCTCCAACATCAGCACCACAGAACGAGAAACCGGCAACGGCTTCAGACAGACACATCTTCAGGGAATGTTGCAAGTGACCCCAATCAGCCGTATTATCACCAGTCCAAATGCTTGCATAACGTTGAGTACCAGCGAAATGAGAGCGGGTCAAAATATATGGACGTTGATTAGGATCCCGGCCGAGTAAGCCGTCGAATGTGCCCATCACATGCATGTGACCGTACAAATTATGTACATCGCGATGTTCCCAATTGCCATAGTGAATCATATCCTTGGGCATTGTCACTTCGGGACCGTTAAAAACTGAAGGCTCGTTCATGTCATTCCAGATCATGACATCGGCAGTGACAGTTTTAAAATTTGAAGGTAAATATTGGCTAGCATAGTAGGCACGGACTTCGGGATTGAAAAAATCTGGGTAGCTAGCAGCACCAGGCCAACACCAACCTACATATAGATAAACATATTTACAGTTTACATCATATAAACCGTTATAAGTGTGTAATAATAGCAAACCCACCTTCATAGTCTTTGCCCTCCCTTGTCTTTGTGTATAAACCACGTTCAGTACAATCTTTATGGAAGAAATACTGGTCATCGCGCTTGATATGTGGATCAATAATGATGACCATGTGACGACCCAATTTACTCAAGTTTCTAAACATGCCAAGTGGATTGCTGAACTTAAATTTATCCCAAGTGAAGTATCTCTTGCCATCGGTGTATTCAATATCCAACCACATTGTGTCCATTGGTATATCATATTCGTCGAATTTAGCTGAAACTTCTTCCACATCATCTTCACTATTATAGTTCCAACGGGACTGATGATAGGCAAGTGCAAACATTTGCGGCAATGGTCCTGAGCCAGTAAGTTCGGTATATTGTTTGAATACGTCTATTGGTGAGGGACCCAACAGTATGAAGACATCAATAATGCCCGATTCAGACATGAAGTGAGCGGCTGGTGGATCAGTCTTGCTGGAGCCTGAAAAGGAATGCGGAATGCATTAAATATATAATTTTTTTTCTCATACTTCATACCTGATACGAAATTAACAATTGAGGAAACTACATTCTTTTCAGCGGTGTAGATGTCAACCCATGTTTCGGCAGCATTTTGCCAGAAAACTCCAGCAGTACGTTTTGGTCTAATTAATTAAGTGATTTAAATTTATTTTATTACAGAGTGAGAGGTTTCTTTTTCGAAAATTGAACCTACCCATGACCATATAATACTGGCACTGATCCATATAACGCCATCTTGCTATCGAGTATGTATTCGAACACATCAGTATTATACAAACGGTAGGGATCTGTGCCCGATGTTGATTTTAAAACAAATGAATCTGCGTGTTCGGGTATACCGAAGAGCACTTCTGCTTCAGGGAATGAAAAGTCGAGTGCCACAGCCTCAGGTCCGTAAGGTTTTGAATCATGATGAGATTTGAAATTTTCCTCCCAAGCACCTGGATCGGTGATTTCATCAGAACTCTTCACTTCATTGGCATCAGGGCTGTCTGTGCCCAATTCTTGTGGTTTCGGACGCAAATGTTCAAAAGTCATGAGACCCTTCGCATTAACGGAAACGGTAAGAACATTATTTTGATAGAAATCGATGCGGAAAGGATCGGCAACGACCACAGCTTTGTTCGAGCCCGAAGTAATAGTTAATTCACCTTGACCTTCTTGTACTTTAATGCTGTAGTGAAATGAGCGAAAACATAAAATATGAGTAATAATTTGTGTATATTTGGGATTGGGTTTTGTTTTTTGTGCTTAAGAATTTATTTGCTTGTTTGTACACGTACCTCCCTGGTTTCGGTATTTCTTTTAGTGAGTCCACAACCCTGTAGCGTGGCTTCAAAGGTGTTTTCTCATCGATCAACAAACGGAAAGTATCGCCCTTCTGTTGAACAAAATTTAATAAAACAATTTTCAATGAATTCTTAACAATTAAACTACCTCAATGCCTTCCAATTTCAAGCTGAACAAATGTTTGTTATCCTTATGTTGCAGATCTGCTGTTATGGAGTCTGAGTAAATGTTCAGTGTACCTGGCACCAATGCGAATTTGGTGTTATCCGGCTTAACATTGCGGCAACGCCTATAATAAATATAATTAAAATTTTTGCACTATATATGTACATATATCATTTGTAACTTAATTACCTGCAAAAGCTGCTTTGGTCACATGTCTTAAAATTAGTTTGGTCTACAGCGACTGCATACTCGAATATGCACAATATTAAAAGAAATATTGCCAAACGCATGTTGACGTAGCTGTTGAAATGATGAAACGATATTTATTAATAAAATTAGAAAAATTATATATATGTATGTATAAGTTTTGGCTATTTGATTTTCTAATTTGCGTTGCGGTGGTACATGTAATTCTTACAATTTCTAATGATGAGTGGTTATACAATGTAAAAAAAAACTGAAACCAATCGTTGACAAGTGGTGATAGTACATAAGGGGCACTTCATGTCTCACCTATTAGAAAGTTCTCAATAAGACGTTTAAAAAAAAAATTAAAACATAATTGAGAAAATATCCCAATTTTAACATTCAATACTACACATTTGACTCAGTATTTTAAGATTCTTATTAGAAATTTTCTGGCGCCGCAAAGAATAGCGCGTAATTACCGAAAGTTGTGCAAAATGCTCAACTGTTTATAGTTCCGATGTCCTATGATAAACTACAACAAAAAGTTGTGTTTTAGCAACTGCCTGCATAGTTTTACATATATTTTTTGTCATAATTATGTTTTATCATGTACTATTAACGAATTTATTTTTAAATCAACTCTTCAACTTGACCATTTCTCAGTTCCGTTTTTCGCATACACACATACTTACCTATATATATAACTACGTATGCATGAAAGCATTGTTTTCGACGAGTGCGTAGGTACACGTCAGTAAACGACAGGTATTTTTTCTAATATAAGTAATACGTTATTGATTCTTCCGTAAATATCTCATTTGAGCTCGTCTTACAGTTACAAAGTTAAATTTTTAGTCAAACTATACAAACACACATTTTACTTATAAATATAGGTTCCTCTAATGAAAATTTGTCTTAATTAAAAGCAATGCCTTACTCACCAAATCAGCAGCGATAACGCTGAACTATTTCAAGCGATTCTTTTCGTTTGTCTTAACACAACAGTTATAATTTTGTATATAGCAAACTAATTTTTTTCGATATTATTCAATATTTTACATGAGTATTGCTGGTAAAATAAATATTTTCCCTTGCAGTTGGTTTCGCTGATTGAAACACACAAGCGCAGTCACACATATAAATATATGAGTTAAGTAGTGTTACCGTCATTACTGAAAATCAGCTGAGGGAATTTTATGACAGATCTCTTTCATTGTGTTATAATTTGACAGGCGGAAAATAAATTTTATAGGAACACGTTCTTGCTACCAATCCTGGAAGGAAATAAGAGATATAAGAAAGATTTTTTTATTATTAAAATAAGTTGAAGCAGACAGAATGAGTTAATTGTGTTTTTAATTAAGTGTTACGTCAACATAAAAATGTTTGCCTTCAAAGGTATGGTAGCACCAATTGAAAAATGTGTTGCATACTTTTAGGCATCATTTGAAAAAGTAAGTATACGTATACAATTGGCGCTTTGTAACCGTAACCGTGTAATACTGCATAATGCTGTTACCATATAGATCACGTATATTTGTCTTGCGTTTATATTCAAGCATATAAATTATGAAATTCGTTGACGAAAATTATATATTTGTTCAAAAGTGTGTAAACACACTGGCAACTAGCAACATTTCGCCGTTCTCAGCAGCGTGGATAACTCGTGTATGTATCTCGCCTTGTCGTCGCCAGTTAGGCTGGTAAGTGAAATGGGAAGTTGCAACATAAGCCGCCTCCGAACGGCTCATGGTTTATTTATGAGGAGCTTTATTTCATGTCAGAAATACCTCGAAGTGGTTGGTTAGATGTTAGTACGACACCAAGATCTGAACCCGAGCCTTCCGAATGGCAGTACAGCCGAGCGTACCGCGGCCGCCGAAGTATGTAAATTAAGTTACTGACTAGGCATTCAATTCGACTAAAAGTTATCTCCTGTAATTTCATTAAAAATAAACAAAAAACAAAAAATTATGCAGTTAATTACTTCAAACTAGAACCGACTATATTATTCAGAATATTAGCTAAGCTAAGCATAGCACTAGCCGAAATAGATTTTTTTGAGTCATAGAAAAAAAAAACTTCAAAACCTGTCCGAATTCACCGTCGAGAAGTTAGTTTAACATTTAATATTCAGTGAGACCTATGTAAAATGCCATAGGCCAGTCCTCTTCTAATGTGTGATATTCAACTTTATGCCGTTCGGCTACAATTCAAGACGACAAAGACAACCAGGTCCATCTGTATCTGATCTTTCCAATGAAGTGGAGGTCTTCAATTTCCTCTCCTCCCACCAATGACTAGTGAGTCGAAACTTTTCAGAGCTGAAGGCGGCCATATGTGGAACTCCATGAATCGTTCGCAAAACAATTCATCGAATGTTCATGCCTCTCATCCATCATAATATTGTTGACTTGGTTGCGAGGTGCAGCAGCCAGCGGGCCCTCATTACTTGGCCGACATGTTTCAAGGACATATTTTGATCGTTCCTTGTCCCGCTCACCTCGTCGCTTGGACAGCGGCAACGTCGGCCTTACTTTTAACGATGACATCAACCAGTTGGGTAAAGGTACCTTCCCAATTAAGAAACCGTTGTGTGCCCTCAAATTATAATCCTAAGTATGCTTTTCTGTACCGAACGTCATATCGAGACTGACAACAAAATTTTCGAAATCATAAAGAAGTAATAAAGCTTTACAACAATTTCATCGACAAAATTATTTATTCGATATTGACACTACACTAGGCAAGTTACAGAGTACACACTAATTCACCATTACTTCTCACTGGCAAATGCGAACTAACAAATTTTTTACGGTATTATTTGCGCATAAAATTTAGTACTTAATCAAATTATTCACGGGGAAGGAACGTCTTAGTCCCATACACTTTTCACGATCAATAAATAATGCATTCACTTTGCGTCGTAGATCAGCTTCTAAAGTTGAACGCGTCTTTAGTAAGTTCTGATGTTGCGCCTCGGCTTCTTGCAACTTGTAGTGTAGATTTTTGACAGTGTCCTGTATATCTTGTACTTCCTGTACCAGTCGTAGTTGAGCCCAGTCCCTAAAAGAAGAAAGGAGTTGGTCAAATTGAAAAATCTCCACTCAAATCATTGGCCGGAGGCAAACTGTCTTGACAAAAGACAGTCTCTCGTTCGGAAAAATCTACTTACTTGCACAACTCGACGCCCTCACGATGCGAGCGTGCCTCCAAACGCGTCTGAGCCACTTTTAATGGATTCGATTTATCTTGTAGTGCTTTTTGTATTAAGAATATATGTTTCTCTAGATCGAATAATTCTTGTTGCACCTTATGCAAATGTAATTGTATCTTATTCTTCGACTCGTTCATCTCTTGCGCACGACGATCCAATGCGTTATTGGTATTACTCCAATGATCCCAGACGGATTGAGCAATTGCATTAACAATTGTCTCAGCATCGCTGCGTAATTGAGAGAGCTTAGCGCGTTCGGCTTGGGATCTGCAATTACGCAAAGTGAATATCAATTCAATTTAGAATTAAACTAGATCTTAAGTAAAGTATTTCACCTGCTAACGCGTTGACTGCTCGCCTCGGCCCAAGATTCCTGTGTACTTATGCTCGGATCGTATTTTTCGATGCCGCCGTAGTAACTAATGCCACGACTATAATTATTCAGCTGATGACAAACCGAATCGATGCCCAGAGTGGATTCTTTATGAGCGACATCCTCCTCGAGTAAATGCTGAGCTGCTCGACAGTCGTTGGCTTGTTTTGTGATCTGATTATAAAATTATTCTTATTTTCATAGTTCAGTCACAACCACTTTAGACATCATTTACCTTCTCGTGAAGATCCTTAAGCTTATCACGTGAGTTCCTTATATTGTCTATCTCCAATAGCAAGGCCTTCTCAGCTATATCATGCACCTTTTCCACACCCGCACGCGCCTCACGATGATATAAGCACTCTTGTGCGATATGTAACGGTGCCTCCAAGTCCAGCATGGCTTTACCGCAGCGTCGCTTCAATTCGGAAATTGCGGCCGATTCCGAAACCAACTTATCCAGCTCCGTATTTAATTCGTTACGCCAAAATGTGACATCCGTTATACGTTCACCCAAACGTCGACCCGCATCACGTTGCCCTTGCGATGTCTTCTCATCGGTTTCACGCATTAAACGTACTGCATCATTGCGCAAGCGCTCCGATTGATTACTACGCAGTTACAGACGATATTATTTTGTTCACACACATACACATAAATGCATTAAATATAGTTTTCCTATACCCACCGATTTATATTGGACTCTGCATATTTGGTCAGATTACTGTTAACCCATTCGTTGCTGGTGTAACGCGTGAAGAGCGCCGCACGAGCAGCGTGTTGCGGATTACGTTCGAAACCCGTTACCAAATTGGGAAAATTCATTGGCTCCGTTGTCATGCCTGAGGGTGAGAAGCACGGTTTCACCAGCTGATTGGTTACCGGTTGCTCAGCTAAGTTCTTGACCTCAATCATTTCGTAAGCCAGTGTCGGTCGCCATGGATGCGGATGATTGTTCTTTAAAACAAGGGGAAGTTGTGATGAAATAAATAAAAACCAACTTCATATTGTGGCAGTTTGAGGTTATGTATGTGTGGTGTCTAACCTGATAAGCTATGCCCACGCGTGGCGGTACCGAAGGACCAGTCACAGGCTCCATACATGGCGGCGCACCAGCCGTGCTCCATGGCTGCAATTGTGAATACATCACAGTTTGTTCAAATTTTGTGGCCATTTTTATTATTGAAATATATGTATATATATGTACTTTTTTATTTTTTTTCACTAACAATAAATACAAACTAATTTGTCGAAAGGATAATGAAGAACTGATAATTTTTTTTGTGAAATAACAAACGAAAACCGTCACGAAAATTTAAAACTACAAAAATTTTCTTCACTTCAAATGAAAGCACTACAGTGAATGAGCTGAAAAAATTTGAAAATCTAAATTTCCAAGTATGTATATAAATATGTAATGAGGCGGGTGAGGGTGACAATTTTAATGATTTTTGTGTGTAAAAATGGATTGTGAAAGTGTTGTTGTGATAAATATGGCATGCGATACATATGACTCTGCCAGGTTCCTGTGGTCCTTGCGTTCAATGTACTCATGTACGCTGCTGTGCTCCGTCGGCCACTTATCCAGCAGGTTGTCTTTGACCAGACGATGATCGAAGATGCGGTTCTCGAGATATGATGTTGCATGATACTTCATGATTGCGGAATCGTAATGATGCGAGTTTGTGGAGTGTTGCGTTTGAGTGATTAAAATGTTTATACGATTATATTTCGTTTCTTCCTTTCTACAACACAACAACAACTGCACTCACTATGGGTATACTCGATTTTAACATTAATTCTTTGACACTTTCTGTTTTCGAATAAATACTGGGGAAGCGCGATAGCAAATTCTTATCCTCAACAGCCCAACAAAGCATTTCTTAACACGCGTCGGTGGTTAAATTGCAAGCGCAGTATATTTTAACGGTACAATTTCACTTATCAAACTGAAGAATTTTTCTAATGCATCGAAATTTCTAGCGATGAATGTGGAATGGCAATGAAATTCTTATTGACAAAACCATAATTACATGGAAACCAAGTGGGTTTTGTATATATATATATATATATATATATGAACATGAATATATATATTATATTAACAAACTAATTAAATATGTAAATGCTTTTCGTATGTGTAGAACGAAGAGAGCGGGTCGTTGAGGACCTATGTCAAATATTGAATTTGCTATTAGATTTTGATGTAAGAGACATCTTTTATGAACAAGGCCCAAGCTGGATGGGAGTGGGTGCGGCTACGCTAAGGTCTCTAGGGCTGTTAGAAATAAGCATTTGCTGTCGGGCTTGATTCGAGCCTAGTGCTTTCTCACTTGTATTTTATTGAGATGCGTAAATAATTTTCTGATGTGTGACTGTGGAACTGGTCTTGGGGGAATTCTCATCGATTGTATTGTGCAAGTCTAAGGCTTTTATATGTAGGCAGATCTCGTTTCTGTAGTGAATCACTCCAAATATCAAGCGCCATGTTTACGATGATACTTACTTGGCTACGAGCATACATAAGTGTGTTCTCATTTATATGACGTCATTCAGAAGGCCAGAGTTCACGTCCTGGTTCGAGCAACACCCAAAATGGTTGAAAATTGATTTTTCTAAAAGCAGTCGCCGCTCGGTATATTTCTGATAAGTAAATCAAAATTTCTCTTTAAAATCCCTCTGCCATTCTGAGACGGGTTAGAATAAACTGTAAGTGCTACTATTTGTTGGAGCAACATTAAAACTCTTAACACAAATATCAGAGCTTACGAACCGTCGTTTTATTTAACGAGTAGTTCACGGTTCACAAAGACATCGTGGCATAAACTACTAAGTAGAATAGATTTCCCTCTTCTTCTAAACCAAACCAAAATACAGTTAATGCAATTAGTAAACAAGAGCTATCAGTGTTCCAGGATGAATGCCTCTGTCATCCGCAGAAATCCATTGGAATTTCAGGTTTCTGCGAGCAGCGGTTAGCGCTGTGAGTTGATCTGTCAGCCATTCAACACAGAGCCTTTCATATATGTAAATTTCTAGCGAAGTTTACTCCTGCATCCTGCCCAAAATTGGTTAATCACAGAAAGTCGGTAATAGATATTCTTCATTTCTATACTTATTCTTTTCGACAAACTGCAATCTGCCATTTCTTAGCCCTTCCAGCTTTTCTATTACAAGCCTAGAAAGAATGCTCGAAGTCTATATGTGTATATCAAGAGTTGTCTCCGGACAAGCTATAAGTTAACCAGCACGCTTATCTTACAGAAAAATCGACGCCGCTCTTCGCGATATTGTGACGCCATCAAAGAGTACACTCTAGAATTTTTCCTCGAAATGAAGTAGGGTTTTAATAATGTTTTACCCCAGATAGTTACGACTGTACTCCGAGAAGTCGGTCTTGCGGCGCACTTAGTGAAACTCGAGATAACTATATAAAAATCACGAGTGATCTTAACAGAATTTGGTAGCATATCCGTAAACTGTTATGTCAACATGACGCAATTAACACTTTGCTCCCCAAGGTAAAGAACACGGATAAAGCTACTGAATTTATGGCCGCGATCAACATGGGTAAAAGACTGCTCGACCACTGCAGTGTCCATCCAGCTAAACTAACCGCAATAATAGAAACCGCTTCGTGTTTCCTGCTGACCTAAATGGGGCTAGGTAGCCGAAAGGGTGACAGCTCTTGGTCGGATAAAATCCGGGTCAGACTCCAGTGCATAGAACCGGCATGCACCGTCAAAACCAACTCATCTAACCCCAACCTCTTATGTCCGAGCCGATCGAAACAGCTTGCTTCCTGGATCTACACCAACAGTAACAGCAACTAACCGTTCCGTGGTTACTCAACCCCGCGATTTTAACTCAACATATGAATATACATTCTGACTGCGAATCTGACATCAAGACTCTTCAATATAATCAGGTCACTTGTAACGTGTCAATAATACACAGGTAAGTTTTAAAAAACTTGGGATTGAATGTATATTCTACAATCTCTGCGAAGTGCTCCGTCAACGGTAATCAACTACGTCAACTGCGTTTCGCGGACATTTTCGTTATATGTATGTCGAAGGCATCCACATATACACGTCGGAATGTGTTGTACTTTTTGCTTACAGCTGTTTGCCTCTACAAACGTCAAATCAATTGCCCAACTACAAAAAAGCTAAAAAAAAACCACAAATCGCAAAAGTGTGAAGAACAGAATTTTTACAAAACTGTTTAAGAATAGAATTGTTAAAAATAATATATATCAATCAATATGGAGATTGACGGATTAAATAACAGCGATGATAAGAAATCTGCTGGAAAATCGCAGCCAGAGATGGAGGCAGCAACGAAAGGAGATGAAGACGTTGCTGTCGATAGCGAGACGGAGCGACGTGAACGTGAAGAACTCAACAACTTCGTATTGGATCTACAAACAAAAATTAACACAAAAGCACAAGTACGTGCTGAAAATCTCAGCTGTGAGCATCCCAGCGATTCCTTTTTTGCCAAACTTGATTCCAGTCTAAAACGAAATACAGCATTTGTTAAAAAACTGAAACAGTTTACTGCCGCGCAACTCGATGCTTTGCTCAAAGATATGAGCGGTCTTAATTTAAGTAAATATATTTCCGAGATCTGTGCTGCACTTTCCGAAGCGAAATTAAAAATGATCGATGTGCCAGCAGTGGTTACGCTCTGTTCACGCTTGCATCAAACCTATGCAGACTTTGATGCACAATTTCTGGAAGCTTGGCAAAAAACACTCTCGCTCAAGCCCGGAGAGAAAATATCAAATCCGAGCAAATTGCGTGTTGATTTGCGTTTATTTGCGGAGCTTGTTAGCTCTGGGGTGATCAGTAGCAAACAGGGCTTGCAACTACTCGGTTCTGTACTTATCAATGTCATCTCGCAAGATAAAGAGGATCACAGTAATTTCTCTATAATTTTGTCCTTTTGTCGTCATTGCGGTGAGGAGTATGCAGGACTTGTGCCACGCAAAATGCAAGACTTAGCGGAAAAATATGGTGGTATAACTATTCCGAAATCAGATTTTCTTGCACCAGACAGACAACAAAATCTACGTGGCTTGCTAAAGGATTATTTCAAAAATTTATGCAAGCATTTAGTTTCCGAACAGCAAGAATTGCTCAATATGACGAAAAGCATACGCCGAACAATGGAATCCAAAGGTAAGTTATAAGCCAGTCATGGATTTGCTTTTTGTTTAACACACAATTTGAATTATTAGGTGAAATATCGAATGATAAAAAGGAAAAATGTGAATTGATGCAGGCAAACTTTGACAAATTACTGTCTTCTGCACAAACGCTCTCAGATTTGCTGGACGAACCGTTGCCGGAGTTGACAAACGAAACGGAGACTTGTAATGCAGGCACAGTACTCGAAAATATGCTCGAAGAAGCAAATTTGGGCGAACTTGATCCTTGGGGGGATGAAGAAACAAAAAGTTTTTACACAGATCTCCCCGATTTACGGCAATATCTACCGAATTTTTCAGCACCCAAGGTTGACTTAGAACAAAGTGAAGAGCCCGCTGAGATGACTGAGGAGGCGCTCGATGCTGATATCGATGTAGAAATGGATTTAGATGATCCACCCTCAACAACTTCGGATCCACCGAATGACAAAGACGCTGAGACAGCATCTGAACAAGCCAACGAAGAAGGAGCATCAGCTGCGCCATTACCGGATAAAATCGCTAATGCGCTAATGGAAGTTGGACGTGCACTTCACGTACCACATACTAAACAACACTTCGATCAGTTTTTGTCTAACTTAAACAATTGTGTCAACAAGGAGCTCCTCGATTCGGCGGCAATAGAGTTTTTGCTGAATTTCAATACGAAAAACAACCGAAAAAAACTGACAAAGTCAATTTTCGCGGTGCAAAGGTAACGCATTTATAACTTTCTTCGCTAAATTTGTGTAAAAAAAAAATTCATACCTCTCTATACACAGAACACGCCTGGATTTACTGCCCTTTCTCTCACGCTTCGTTGCCATTATAAACCTCTGCAATACGGATGTTGCTATTGATTTATCAGAAATGTTGCGCAAAGAATTCAAATGGCACATACGCAAAAAGAATCAACTAAATATTGAATCGAAAATAAAAATTGTACGCTTTATCGGTGAAATGGTAAAATTTGGACTATGCAAGAAATTCGATGCACTCAGCTGTCTGAAGATGCTGCTACGCGATTTCCAACATCATCAAATTGAGATGGCTTGTGCTTTTATTGAGGTCGCTGGCATTTATCTTTATAACTGTCGTGACTCGCGTTTACTTACCAATGTATTTCTCGATCAAATGATGCGTCTGAAAACAGCTACGGTTTTAGACTCTCGACATGCTGCACAAGTTGAGAGTGTCTACTATTTGGTTAAGCCACCAGAAAGCGTAAATCAAGAGGCCGTTGTACGTCCGGTAATCCATGAGTATATACGTCATTTGATATTCGAAGAATTGTGCAAACAAAATGTAGACCGATGTATAAAAATGTTGCGCCGCATTAACTGGGATGATCCGGAGGTCAGCAGTTATGCCATTAAATGTATGTCTAAAGCTTATCTGCTCCGCTTTCCACTCATACGCTGCCTTGCTGATTTGGTATCGGGCATGAGTTCGTATCAGGAACGTGCGGTGACGATGGTTATTGACAATGTTTTCGAAGATATACGCGCAGGTCTCGAAATACACTCGCCAAAATTGGCACAACGTCGCATAGCTATGGCTAAATATTTGGGTGAATTGTATAATTACAAACTGGTTGAATCGACGAACATTCTGAATACACTCTATTCAATTATTTCACTGGGGGTGTCAACGGAGGAAGGTGTCTACTCAGAATTAGATCCGCCAGATAGTTTGTTTCGTTTAAAACTGGCTTGTGTGCTGCTCGATACTTGTGGCCAGTATTTCACTAGCTCCATGAGTCGCAAAAAGTATAAGAAAAGACATTGGAATTCTATTGCTGTTACTAATCGTTTTCATTTTGCAGATTGGATTATTTTTTGGTGTTTTTTCAACACTACTACTGGTATAAAAAGTCGCATCCGGTTTTTAGTAGAGTGGAAAATACATCAGACTTATTTCCTATATTAGTGGATCACATGTATCGCGATTGTTTGGCAAATGTGCGGCCGAAACTAAAGGTACCCCTTTTGGTATTCTATTGAAATTGAAATGGTTTTTAATGTTGCCCTTGAAACAGCTCTACAAAAGTCTCGAACAATCCAAGGAGGCTATTGAAAAACTTAAAGAAGAGTTGTACCCACAATTGAAAGCAAGCTTGCAGGCGCAAGCAGAAGGTGACAATGGTCTGGAGTCTATACGAGAAGATAGTGAATTTGATGACGCAGTAAGTACTGTTATTACAACTTGTAATGGTTATGAAGGAAAAATAGGGATTCGATACCTAACTGATAAAAAACCTAAATTATCGCAAACTTTTTCTTTTCGCCACTTTCTTTCAACAGTTGAGTGACGATTCGTCTTCGGAGCGTGAACGGCGCACCCGTGATCACGACGCCTGCGCTGACGATGATTTCAACACCGAGGATGCGAATAATGGCATTGAATTGGCAAATACAACAGACTGGACTGAAAATGAATTTATGCTCGAAGATTCTGAACCGCCAGAAGCAGAAAAAACTAAGGACGATTTGGAATTCGAACAATTGTTCGAAAAAATGGCACAAGATAGTTATCAAGAGCGTATCAAAGAGACCGTTAAACCGAATACGAAAGATATACCAGTACCAATGATGGCTCGAACTGGTAAGAAATCTTATGAGCAAATTGCAGCCTCGAACGGAAATCAGTCGGGAAGCGACAAAGAAACAGCCAAAGGCAATGGCGCAGCAGCAGCTGGTGGTGGTGGTGGCGCTGGTGTGGTGCCATTTGTGCTTATGGTACGCAGCGGCAAAGGTGGGAAACAACAATTCAAACAATTCGCTGCGCCATCCGATTCACAATTGGCCATCAATTTGAAACTACAGGAAGAGAAGACGCGCGAGGAGAAAGAAAGGGTGAAGCGTTTAACGCTAAACATAACCGAACGCATAGAAGAAGAGGATTATCAGGTATATTGGTGTTAATGAAATAAAATTAAAAAATATAAATAAACATTTCTAAAATCGTCTATAGGAATCTTTAATGCAATCTCAGCGCAATATGTCCCAAAATCACTACCAACGCCCGAATAGACCGAAATTTCGCCATCAAAAGGGCGCGCCAGATGCGGATTTGATTTTCAATTAAGCACTGTAGCTCAATTAAAGGAATTTGGCGTACAAAATGAGACGTTTCGTATTCCGCAGTGTTAATTCTATTGACCGCCAACCGATATCGTAAATCAATGCATATGCAGCTGGACTCGTACAACAAGCTGTGGCTACAACAAAGCCGCTACAACAAAAACAACTGGGAAAAAATATTAGCAGCTAAAAGTTCTAGCCAAGTGAAGAAGATTCATGTATTGTTTGGGTATTGCTGTGGCGATTGTTGGGATGTCTTCAAAGAGTTTATTAAAGTAATTACTGAGTTGAAAACATTTGAAATGTAAGAAACAATCAAAATACTGGGTAAAATAAAAATTAGAGTAAAATAAAGACGATTTTGTAGATGTATAATTTTAAGAAATGGGAAATTTTAACCAAAGAGCGTACTAAATAGAGGGAGAGCGTTTAAGGACCTGCAATCTCTCGTCTGCCACAACCAAACTTTGACCATCATCAAAAAAGTGTGCAAACTTTTTAAATTTATTTTTTACACTGTTATCTTTGGTATTTAGAATTGAAAGGCAAATTCCCCACCTTTGACGACTCTAACGATATCTGACATGAGAAAACAGAGTATAGTGGACCCACCACAGTATGACTTCCTTGCAGTGCACGGTAACACCACTTATACGGAGCCTTATAAGTACAAAGCGCCAACCCTTTGAATCTATCACAGCTGACCTTTAGGACGCAGGCTCTCGGTAGTTTCAAACTTTCTGAACGCCACGTCATGCAAAGAATTTTACTAAAAATTTGAGCTTTTTATAATTGTATTTTCTGCATCTCGAGAAAATGTGACATAGTATTCACCGATTCGCACTCTGGTGCCTCTTTTATAATTTCTACATTCCAAAATTCGTGTTTGAGGGAGTATCTTAGATATTTTAAGCCGATAACTGCTCAATCCTAACGACCGAACAAGATGCTGATAATGTTTTTACGGAAGAGAACGGGTACCTCTCTAACGTTCTCCATCTTTTCACTATCACAGGCCGACGACTTTAATCCGGAAAATATACGACAGTGCGCTGAGTGGAATTGTACCCTGTAAAACTGAATATTATAGTCCGAATGTCAACAATCCAAAGTTACTGAGATTGTTATACAACAACTGCAGTCTTTGACTCATCATACAACCGCTGTTTTGTTAACAATATACAGATAAATGAGCGCTGTGGGCGGTGAGATGCATATGAGACCTGTTTAAACACCGCCTCCTGACCTGTATCATCCTTCAGTTGGACGCGACTTGCTATGGAAAAGTTTCGATTACCAAAGTCGATCAAAACTTTCCTTGACTCTTTTGCCGTGAATGGCTGTACGGGAATCCAATACTATTTTTTGCAGATGAGGAATTGGAGCTGCCCAAAAGATCTCAGTAATGTCGAAGCAAATAAGGTTTGGACATTGTAGAATAATCAACTCTACAAAAGCATTTGCGTTTTAGTACTTCTCAAACCATGAGCTTGGAGATTCTCAGATTTCTATTATGGAAAGAGTACTAAAGAAGATTTGATAGCTATTCATAAACGTTGACTTCAAATTGGCGAGCCTGCGGCCGATTCCTTGATCATTAAACAAATACAATACTAATTTAGGTGGAGGACCACATCAGTATAAGTTATCCCATCGTCAAATCACACAAAGAGCACATTTTTAACTTAATATTAGATTTTATTATTATTAAGGTAAAAACACACTAAACAAAAAATTGATAATCTTACATTTTTCTAATACAATTAAATACCAAATAGTGTATTAACTACTTTTGTTTTACATTTTAAGCATTTTTCTCTCTCGTCAACTTAATTGCATTAAGTGTTAATATTACTTGCACAGGTCAGTACAAAACATTTTTATAATATAGTAGAATTACATATGTAAATATGTTATTAAGACATTTTTTTAATAAAAAAAAGTATAAAAAATAATACAAAATCCAGAAAAGAAACATAATAAAACCGAGAAACTGTTTGTAAGTAATGTTAAAGTTCTCAGATTCTGAGAGTTGAAAAATAACGTAGTCTTAAAATAAGTAAAAAAAAAATGGACAAACAATTTCATTATGATTTTAGCTGAAAAAAAATGTAAAATTTATCAAAAAGAAATGGTCTCGTTTTTTCCTTAGATATTTTTTGCTTTTGTTGCTTTTTGGATTTATTGCAATTTTGGTTTAATTTGGCGTACCTGGGACAGCGAGAACTACATTTTGTGTTATATAAATTAATATACATACTAAATTGTATACTTATAGGCTATGTTAATATTTTTAATAAAAAAAATTTAATTAAATACGTGTTTTGATTACAAAATGACTTGACTTTTTTGAAAGTACTTAGTTATCAGATTTGTTCTTAACTGTCTCGAAAGGAGTTTTTCCCCCTATTATGTTTTCTTTTATTGACTTTTAGTACAAAATGAATGTTTAATAGGCACGTTTGCAGTATAAATTCTCATTACAAAAAAAATATATATATTATATATATATGGATATATATTTCAATATTCGTTTTGTGCTTCGTTAAGAGTTACAAAAAAATTGGATCTTCGTTTATACAAATTCAACGTCTATTTAAAGGCAAATAGGCAATGCAGTGTTATCCAAATTTTCTTTTTTTCTACAACAAACTCTCTACTCACTTACTTGCCGAGTGCTTAATTTGTTACTACAATATGTTGTGAAAAGTATATGCCATTAGAATTTGTATATATTTTTGGTGGTGTAATTATAGCTGAATGTCAGTTTCATCTGTTCTACTGGTGGTGAGTACAAATGTATAAATATATATTTTTTAATGTAAACTGTTTTTATATTTCAAAAGGCACATACATTACTTCTCAAATTAATTATCTGCTTCATACTCGCTTAAATTCTGTATAGTATATATGTTTATAATTGTTTTGTCTGCTTTGTTTGTAAAAATGTATGTTAATGGCAGTATATTATTTTAAAAAATATATATGTATCTTCCATATATACACTAACGGAAGCACACAACAGTTATGCTCTTATGTGTAATACTCAACAAAAGGTGTTGCAATTATGTACCCTATAACTTAAGCAATATTTTCGTTAATTTAATTAAATGTCAGTTCAATTATTGCATTATATTAACAGTACAATAAGTAGCTGATGCTAGTACACATATGCATGTTTGTATGTGATATAAATAAAGTGGTGTGGTTCTAATTTTAGAATATGTATTTTTTACTCCTAGCAAATACACGCAACTTCCGACATAAAATTCAGTTTTTTTTCTTTTTGTTAATATGGCAATTAGAGAGAAATTCGTAACCAAAACAATACAACATTGCCCAAGCAGTTTTTTTTATCTGTATTATAGTTGCTTCAAATTTTATTTGCCGGCGTACATAGGATTTTTGAAAGTTGAAGTTGCTTGCTTGTAGATGGGATTCTCGCCCTGAAAAAAATAAAATAAATTTTTAATAAAATATGCTACGCATCTAAGCTATAAAAAATTTACAGTTAAGGAGAATTTGCTTCCGAAAATTTTAGCAAATCAAATTCAAGAACATTATTAGCATTTCAGTATATAACTTTTAAAAATCCAGAATTGTGAACTCATTCGATTTCACTTTTCTCACTTTCCCCACACTTACCGTGTCCCACTTGGCGTTCATGCGCTCCTTCTCGAAGCGTGCAAATTCCCTGCGATCGTGTATGGTTGTCAGCAACTTCCACAAAAGCAATATAGCCAAACCCACCAAAACAATAGCGGCGATCACACCCAATACAATGCCCAACATAAACACCTTTGGTGGACATTCACGCTCCTGCTGTGCGTGAACTTCGACTTTATGGTTCACTTCACTATATTTGAATGTAAATTTACAGTCATCTTCATCATAGAATATGCAAAGCTGTTCATCTTTCTCTTCATCAATAACAATTTTCTCCTCGCCTATGGGTACGAAGGTGCAATTTGTGGCACAATCATTTTCATCTTTCAGCGGACCAGTCTTGTACATTTGACATTGCACACAATTACTGAACTCTTGACAACGACCCGAGCATGTAGGGCATTTCTCACAATACTTGCCAGAGTAGCGACCTTCGCTGGTGGATTTACATCTAAAAAAAAAATAATAATATGAAAAAATATTAGTTTTTTTTTATTAAATAATGCACTTAAACATTTTAACATACTTGCATACACCACATTCGCATTCGCCTTGACCCGAACAGATTTCACCGCTATTCGGTGGCATACAGGTGTCGTTTGAGGCGCGACAATCGCATGCCGAGCCCGTCCAGCCCGCCTTGCACACACAGTGATTACACTCGCAAGTGCCATGATCGGGCCCAGAGCAAAGCAAATTCTTATGACGTTCACACGAGAAGTTATCGCATTCACAGAATTTGCCGGAAATGATTTCCTCTGGATTTTGACGCTTCTCACACTCACAGACGCCACACAGGCATGTACCGCGATTATTACAATCCACTTGCGTTGTATTATCCGGTCGGCAAACCAAATCTTTATCACTGCCTGTGTGCACATCACTGGTGGAGCACTCACAATTATGACCGAAATGCATATCATCACACTCGCAAATGCCACACATAAGTGTACCGTGATCATTACACTTCGGCGAGTGCTTCTCATACCCAATGGCACCTGGTCGCTCACATGGACAGGAGCAAAGCATTTCCAAATCAATAATCAAACTTTCATTAATACCCACAGGATATATTTGTATGACCTGATTCCATTCACGTGGATCTGTGGGACAGGAGGTGACCAAAATTTGTGCGGTGAATTGTACAACATCACCAACTTTCAAGCCGTCGCACTTGGCGGTTGGTATCTCGGCGCCACCATTCAAGCATGAAGAGTGATAAGTAACCTTTATATTACTGGTAGCATTGTCTTTCATTTCGATGGAAGACGAGATTTTCTGCAAGAGGAAAATAAAAAAATATAAAGAATTAATCATTAAAAAAAACTATTTTCATTACTCACGCTATACTCAGAGCGCACCAAATCGACAACGTTCGATGAATCTTCCGACAGCACCGCGCTCGAGGAACCCTCAATATGTTGTGCCAGCTTTTCATACACCGAATGCTGATTGGCGGTGACAGCGAAAATGACGTTAATCGAATTTTGCTTTACTTTGTGATTGATTTGTGAGATGCTGGGATAGTCTTGGATGATAGAGTGTGTATAAAGTCCTTGGTCGCTCAAATGACATTCACCATCGTTCGGTGCAATCACGCCGCCAAGCTAAAAATAAATAAATGATAATGAAGTGAGAAATATCAAAAATTAAAAAAAAAAATTGTAATATTTATATAATAATACAATAATATAAAACAAAATGGATAGAATACAATAAAAAATAATATTATTAAAATAATTTAACAATTAATATCAAAAATATAATATATTAAATAAATAAAAATACAAAAATAATATAATATAACAAGTAATAATAATAAAATAATATAAAAATAATATTGATAATAAAATAATTAAAATTAACATTAATAAAGTTATAAAAAATAATGATAATAAAATAATATAACTAATAATAAAAATAAAATAAAATAATCAATAAATTAATACAAAAATAATTATATATTATATATAGATGAATATACAAGATAATAATAATAAAATAATATAACAAATAGCATCGTTATATTATTTAATTATTATTATTTTGTATATTCTTTTATATATATAATTATTTTTTGTATTAAATAATTCAAAAATTAATAAAATAAAAATAGTAGAAAAAAATAACATAATATAACAAAATAATACTGCTAATAATATTATATTAATAATACAATAAAAAATAATATTGAATATAACTAAATGAAAAAATTGTAATAATAACAAAATAATCTAATCAATAAATTAATGCAAAAAATAGTTATATAAATATAATAATAAACAAAATAATTTAACAAATAATATCAATCAATAAATAAAATAAAAATAGTAAACAATAATATAATATAACAAATAATAATAATAAAATAATATAACTAATAATACAAAAATTATTTTGAATATTATTAATTGAAAAAATTTTAATAATAATATAATATTATAAAAGTAAAACTAAAATAAAACAGAAAATTATAATAATAAAATAACATAATTGATCAATTAATACAAAAAAATAATAATATTAATAAGCTAATATATAACAACAAATAATATTTATAATGTAATATGTTAATAAAATAAAAATAATACAAAAATAATATAATATAACAAGTAGTAATAATAAATTAATATAAAAGTAATATTTGTATTGAAATAATAAAAAATAATATTAATAATTTTATAAAAAATAATATAATCAATGAATTAATACAAAAAATAATTATGTAAATAAAATAATATACAAAATAATAATAATAAAATATCTATAATGTAATATCTTAATAACAAACAATATCAACAAATTAATAAAATAAAAGTAGTAAAAAAATAATATAATATAACAAGTAATAATAATAAAATAAAATTAATAATAAAATAATAAAAATAATGTTAATAAAGTTATAAAAAATAATAATAATAAAATAATATAACTAAAAATATTAATAAATAATATAGCTAATAATATTAATAATATAATAAAAAATAATTTTGAAATAATACAATTAATTATATTAGAATAATAGAATAAATATAAAATAAAAATAAATATAAAATAAGAATTAAAAAATGTTAATTTATATTTCCTACCTTGCCATCGCCAGCATAATGGAAACCAGCATCTGTTGAGAATACCAAAAGACGACGCGCTTTCTCGCGCCAACCGATTTGCTGACGACAAACAATCGCTTGCATAATCGCATCGAAACCACCCTCCGGTGCATCCAAATTACCAGAAACAGCAGCGCGACTCACTTCGGACTGAAGGAATTTGAATGTGGAACAAAGCAGAAATACAATTATTGTAGAAACGACATGGACATTTTTTTAATTAAAAAGCGGTTATGTTAATGGTACACTCTTCAGAGGAATTTTGTAAAGCAAAATAATTAAAAAAAAAAAATAAAAATTAATTGACTTAAGTATTAGAGATTAGAATTGGCAAATTCAATGAAGTGTTTTAGTTGACTTTGAGATCTTTTATATAAAAAATATTTCTGATATGAAAAAAATGATATAAATATAAAATATTTTTAAATTCTTTTTATTCGCTTCCAACTCGATGGGTAAGAGCAGCATATTTAGCGGAAAATGACCACTTATTATGTAGTATGCGACGTCGAAAATGATTGAAAGTTAAAAAAATATAAAATTCTTTCATATTTTTACTTGTTATAAAATAAAAATTTAAATGTAAAAATTTCGGTTTAAAATTAGCAAAAGGCTAAGATTTACGATTTTTTCATATTTGAAATCAAATTACTACAAATTCCATGTTTTATCAACATTTAGATAAGCCTGATAATGATGTCATAATGCAAGTAGTTATTTTTTGTTTATTTAAAAAAAAATCGATTTATCAATGCCGGCTAAAGTAAATAAGATAAAAAGTTTTGCACAAAGAATTGCACTGTTTGCGATAAGACACAAACGAAAAAAAACGGATATCGCTATTTTTTTGATATGTATTTATTGGTAAATTCTGAGTTGAATTTATTAAAAAAATATAGCAGAAATAGACAATAAACACTATAGTTGCATATATACATATGTACATATGTATTCGCATGTTGGGGTGAGAATACAAATGTGCAAGGATTTAGTTATATAAACAAATAAATCTCGAAAGCATTCTTTTTGCTGAAGTAGCTAAAAAAAGGGAAAAATTATTGTGTGCCTCCATGGTTTCAAGACGTCAATGAAGTGGAACAAATTATAGCCTTTCAATCAATTTTTTTTTTATAGGATAGACAAGAACGGTTTGAAAATCAGTAATCTGTTATAAAAAAAATGCCTTTAAGTTAAATTTATTAATTATCTGGTTGCAATATATTTTTTGGAATTTTGCTCTAATTTTGGCCTATGCATTTAATTTATTAAAAAAAATATTTTATTTAGTGCAATAAAATATTAAAAAAATAATATATAATAAATAGAAATTAAAAAAAAATCCAATGTTTTGCTGTTTATTTCATGGAATTATTTTATGTCCATAAAATAATTTTTAAAGGCCACTTTGCTTTTTTTATGATGGTTTAGTCATTGAAATGTATTTTTTTCATCCACGACGTGTTGAATTTATTATTTTTTAATATTTCTAAATGACAAGAGTGTACCATTTTTATACTTATAAAGTTAATAAATAAGAAATTTCAGTTAGGAAAAATTGCAAACATTTACATAGTATGTATATTATAACCAAACATGCCAAAAACAATTTACCATCTACACCCTTAATATGCTTTCACATTAGTACTCAGGCGAATAAAAAATAAATTATTATGACAAAATATATGCATTAAATTTTTAACATGCAAATCTGGTTTTTACAAAATTAGCTGATTGACATAAAAAAAAAAAATAGTTTATTTAAAAGTTTTCCCCTTGCAAGACAAAGAAATTCGAAATCGAAATTAAAGCGACTACACACCAATTAACCCTTTAGTTGTAAATATTTAAATACAAATTTATTTCACAAATAAATTACTCGTTGTAATTGAATTTTCTTCTTACATACATGAATGCTAACAATCAGCAGATTTGTAAAAATCGTTTTTTTTTTTAGAATTTTTATTTCTGTTAAGTGTTATGCATACATCTTACATACAACAACAACTTACAGAAAATCGATATGTATCCGTATTTAAAGCCATAACATTACGATAGCCATATGGTGCAGTACAATTCGCACACGGATGTTCCAAGCTATGTATTTATTTATGTAGTTATAAATATATTTTTTTAATGTATTTTTTATGATCACATATCCACATACATATATCGTTAAGTGATATTTATATACGAATAAATATGCAGGCATGAGCATCATATTGAAATTATGTATATTGAGATAATTTACGAAAACATTCAAATGTGTGAGTGAAATAGAGAGAAAAAGATAGAGAAGTACAAAAATATAATTACAAACAATAATTTTCAAGATTAATGCCAATATACATAAATATTTATCAATTATAGACATTTGACTAATTATAACTTAAGAAACCAATAAGAATACGTAATTTTATTTTATTTTTTTTCACCTTTTTTTTTAGCAAATTTACATACAATTTTACAAAATACAATACAAAATAATAACAATGGAGTTTAAATGACCAGCGAAATGAAAAGTGCGATTTTTTGATATAAAAAATAATTTCAATTATGAAAATGACACTAAGAATGGAAGGTCACGTACAAATATAAACCAAATACTGATTGATGTTTATATTAAGTGCTAAAAGTTTGGATATTTTTATGCATAAATGTATATACATACTGAAAGTACTTTTGAAATACAAATTTTCAATACTTAGACAAGTGCGAAATAAAACAAAAAAAGAAAATGAAAATTAACTTTAAAATTAAATATATACAACAACACAGATGCATAGTGATGACAACAGATCGTACTCATAACAAACACTTATTTTACGACATGTGTATGTAATACAAAAATATTGTACTTTAATATACTAAGAATAAATATTGTAAATATAATAAAAAAATAATTGCATATTTAAATTGACATAAACCATGGAAAACACTAAATGCATAGTCAAAAATGCTGAAAAGTAAAAAAATGCAAAGCGGAAAATACAAACCAAAATCCGAAAGAGTGCCAAAATACATTATAAGTGAAATTAAAAAAAAAATATAATAATAGAACACACAAACAAACAACTATTAGATGCGATAAATACGTATGTATGTATATATATATTAGTACTAGCACTATGACAGCAAAAAATTCGTTAAAAAAATACATATATTTCGAAAGCAAACAGAACAACAAAACAGACATACATATTTTAATTGCTTATGAACTCATATCCACCAGAAAATCACAACATAAACCAGTTTACATACAAACAAATCAAAGAAATTTACATATACAATAAGCACAATACATAAAGTTAGGAGCAGATGTTTAAAAAGCAAGCATAGGAAAAGAAGCAAATAAATCGCAGAGTTAGCGAAGGAGTAAAGAGAAATACATATGTAGGTAACAAAAAAAAAGAAGATAAATTACAAAGCATTGCTTCTTACAGTGAACGTTGAGGTATTTGTACTCAGAGGCATGTGATTGCGGTAACCGTACGGTGCCTCACAACCATCGCAGGGCCTTTCGAGTCTGTTGTTGAAGTTGTTTTCATTTTTATTCAAATCGATATTACAAATAGTAGCAAAATGTAGTTGCATTGTTGTTTTTGTTGGTGGTAGTTTTCGTTGTTATTGTGAGTATTTTGTGGGTGGTAGTTGGTTGATTGGTTGGTTGGTTGGTTGTTGTTACAGCGCATTAATAACGATTTGGGATGTTGTATTAAAAAGTAGCCGCGAAGAAGTATGTGTATGTTTTATTTTTGCAGTTAATGCAAATTTGTTGGTTAGTTGTTATTTCATTATTTTATTTTTATAATTTTAATATAAGTATTTTTTTTTTTTGTGATTGTACAGAAATAAAAATGGATAATGCGTAACCAATTTGCAAAGAACAGCAAACAAATTTCAACGGCAAATAACAGTAACAGAGTGGACAAGAAAATTATTTGTAAAAAAAAGAACGAAAGGAAAATTATTATTAATATTTATATAAATATTTGTAAGTATATTAATCGTAGAAGAACATGATAAACTCTAAGCAAAAATTAATATTTTTTATTAATAAAAATAGGTAGTAAATAATTTAAAAACGATAGTATTTAAAAAAAATAACACTGTAAAAATAATAATAATACGTCTATAGAGAAAATATATATACGAGTATAGTAACTTATATTTTACTTTACTTGGCTTAAAGTTTAAATAAAATTATAATATAGTGGTTCTATAGTAGCAAAGGCTACATAAATTGAGTTTTACTTATTTTTTCGTAATTAAAATGTAAAATAATTTCCGTCTTCTTATACTATTTTTGCATTTTCCAAAACTTGATAATTCTACTTAACTTTTGCGCTATTAATGTAACTGTAATTAATTTTTGAATATGTTTTAAATAAAACTCGTTACTCAAATAACCTTAAGTATAGTTCTTTATCTCAAAAGTAATAAATAAATATGCACAGCTTCAGTAAATATTAATACAAAGCCTAACTTATATATGTAGTTAATAATCAAAAGGAAATCACTCACTTTTTGGGTATAGTTGAAACGTATGGCATTAGCACCTTATCGACAAATGAACCGAAACCCAAACGGAAATTCGACGTAATGTTACGCATAGTCTCTGACAATTTATCGCCCAGCGCAGACAATTTATCCTTATCGTCCTCCATAGATTTGGACAAGTCCATCAAGTAGTATAAATCGACGGGATAATCCACAGCTTGCGAATAACGCATGCTAAGTGAGTGTAATTGATCTGCAAATATATAATTAATAATTTTACAACTCCTCATTTTTTATCATTTCCAACAACTTACTGATGCGCAACTTAAGACTGACACGTTGTGGACTGATTTGTACAATTTCACCGCTAGAAGCGGCAGCACCAGCTGCAGCAGCACTGCCATAAGCACCAGCATACGATGAACTTGACGAAGATGAGCTACTGCTATACGATGAGCCAGCCTCATAGGTACCGCCATAGCCGTAACCACCGGCTGCAGCGCTTGCCTCACCACCACGTGTTAATTCGCGATTTATGGTGAACTTTTGTTCTGTTTGAGGACTCCATGTATATTCCTCTTTACAATAATTTTGTATACTATTTTTAAAGCAACGTGGCGAATCGCCCAGATCAGGTTGCATGCACCAGGCGCAATTTTGTGTTTGTATACATTCATGACAGGAGGCCTTATTCACACATGGATCCTGTATAAGTTTACCGGCGAGTTGTGCTTGAACGTTTAAAATGTTGCTGCAAACGATTGTGGTGACGAGGAGCATGGCTACCAACCGCATGGTGGCGGGCAGATGGTAGCGGTGTGCTGTCATATTGAATAATTCTTACCTTCTCTTCAAGACTTTGTTAGGTAAGAAATAAATAATTTGGAAGCTGTAAAAAAAATAGAAATGAAAGTAAAATAATTAGTGAGAGAAAATAAGTAGTTTAAATTAAATACAAAATAATTATTATTAATTGCATCAGGAACATATTCGTAAAGTTATAACTAAACAATTAGAGGTTTTAGCTTTAAAGATGCAAATATCATCGAAGTGAAGAGTCATAATTCAAAGATGATCTAAAAAGCATCATAGCAGATGATGGTAAAAATAAAGGCACTAAAGGAAAAGGAGACCATCCTGCTTAGGTGTTGAAAATTTTAGCCGCAGTAGTAAGGCATGCCTGATGTCTACCGTAAGAGAGGACACAAAGTCTATATAACGGTCAAAAACCAACACTCTCGTAATATTCTCCGAAAGCCAATTTGGAGAATATATTGGAGATACAACAACAAAATGAAATAAAATCAATCATTTTGTTTGCCGCTATATTTAATTATTAATCGAGCAAAAACAGGCAAATGGAGTTAACAATAAAACTGATAAGCCGAGAATAAGCTGACACATGAGAATTACATAGAAAATATTATTTGTAACCGTGTTGAAAGGAAACATATGATCAAAGCAAAATAAATAATGAATAATAATAATTTAGTGGATGGGAGACACAGCTGTTTTTGGTTTAGTCATAACAAGAGAGAATCGATTAGAAAAAAAAACATATGATAATATATACTTTTAAATCTTCAAATTCAAATTTAAATACTTTTCAGCAATAACACGCACACACATTCATAGATTAAGTTTAAAAAAAAATAAAGATTGATGCTTAAGTAATTTTCGCTTTTTAATATTCTTTTTTATTTGCTATTGCTGCTGACGTTATTTACTGTAGCTTTTGTTGATTTTTTGAGACACAGTCAGCACGATTTCATATGAATCAAATTGCGAGCCAATAGTGACTCATCTGCCATGGACACTTTATGTAGGTAGGTAGTGGCCAAGAAAATGAAATCACACAACAAATAAGAGAAAACAGAAAATATTCGCATATACATATGTAAATCTAATATTTAGTACATAAATACATGCTTGTTCCTTTAATATACAATAAATCAGCGAAGAAAGAATGAAGAGAAATTACAGAAGAAAAAAAGAAAAGACTAAAGTCATAAAAGATATACATTCACATAAATAAGTATATATATATATCTGTATATGTATAAAGGGGCATATACAAACATTTATAACAATTGCAAAACCGGGTAGGTACGATAACGACTCGGAAAACTGTGTCGAATACCTCAAAACCACACATGTGCTCGTGCTATAAAAATGGATTTTCAATTACAGAAATGGCTATCGGTTCAATGAGGAAAAGGCTATACGCTACTAAACAAGGATAGGTCAACAAAAGACTAATTGGTGCCAGCAAACACATAAAGGAAGTGGACAAGGCGCCTTTCATCGTAAATCCAATTTACTTTTAATAGACATACATACTTATGTAGATGCATGTGTATTTACAAAGGCGCAGTTTGCGTGTGCAACCTGTTTTAAGCGAAATTTCAAATGGGCAGCATAAACAATAGTAAATGTTTGTCAAAACAAGCATTAGTCAGTCTACCAAGGACGGCAGGAAGATAATGAACGTCTCTATGAATTACATAGTAAACTGTTATATGAGATTTATTTAAGCAATACCAATTCATTTTTAATGAGTTTTAGGAAGAGAATGAAATTTATGTTTATGAAGAAGTGAATCATGTAGATCCAGTATGTCTACAAAGCGTGCCATTATCACCTCTCAAAAAATTTTAATTTCACTTTAAATTACTTTTAACATATATTAAAGTATTCTCCACACAATATATGGTAATATGCACATATACATATATGTGTAGGTGTTGTTGTTGTTGTTTTTGGTCGGATAAAAATCCAGGTTGTTCCTGTAGAAAGGCCCGACTTTCGCAGGAACTATTGGATTTTAGTAGCCTCTTAAGACAGGAATGCCTTATCATAGCTACATATTTAGGTACTAATTTTTGCTTTATAATCAGTGGGCGAGTGTTTGGACGAGATTCCCATCCCAATTAAAAGATTTATTACATTTTGAAGTATTGAAAACCCGGTCCAAAGGATAGGTATATAACACAAAATACAAATTTTTAAATGTTGATATGGTCAGGGCTCGAACCCTTGATTCGAACCGCGAGCACTATACAGTGAGCGAACAAGTACATACGATTCATATATATGTATAATAAACATATCATTGAGAAAATAGGTATTAGCGATATAAAATCTGACGTTGATACTGGTGGGTTGGATTGGCTATATTTAGCCTACGCATCTGCAACAACAGCAGCAACGCCAACGCACTATTTGGCTATAACAAGAACAACACTATACTACTAGTCGCCAAAGCAAACAAAATTGAAGGTAAAATAAATTCAACAAAAAGATGATGGAGTAAAACAACATCAAAAACATAGAAATATCTTTAGGTGGTGCGGCAAGCATGAACGAAAAAAGCTTGGAAAGAATCTCATATCAATTGGTTGGTTTACTTGTTTAACTGGAACACAAACTTATTCGCGACAGCATAAAAATCGTCAAAAACACAGCCAAATGCATATATGTTTTGTGTGGGCGTTTAACTTGTTCTAAAAAGACGGCAGTCATATATATTTATGCAATATATTCATATACATGCAAAGTAATACGAAGAAGTTTGGGGAGTGGCACTGATCTCCAATTGCTTTATCTTATATACCTAAAAGGCACCTATAAAATTTTATTTATTTTTTTCCCCCATATATTAAGACTTTGATGACTAATAATTTTTTAATTCCATTGCAAACTTCATCACATTATCTCGTTACGTATGGCAAATCTAGCTCTGTTGGTGATACCATTTTGGAGTCATTAAAGTTTATCCGCAATTTGTGTCAACATTCTTTCTTTGTTTTCCCATTTTATATATTTTTCACTACCACTACCACTTTTCCTCGTATTTCCCCTCACAAACTTTTGACCGATTCAACACTTGAAGTTGAATGAAATCATCTTTTATTTTTTAGAAACACTCATAAATGATCACTCACAACAATTCTTACATAATTATTAACATTCTTCGCATATTTAACACTTACACTTTTAGATAATGTATTTTATTAATTAAATTCTCTCCGTTTCCACTATAATTAATTTGGTTTTATTTCCATCAGGGGTAAATAGATATTAATTATTATAAACCCGAACACTAACTCCCCACTTTAAGCAAACCACACTCGTCGAATTTTTCGAATAATCTGAACATCGATGGCAATTTGTTGCTTCGAAAAATTTACTTTCAACAGGGTTGCTCAGTGCATGTCATCCAATAAGATCTTATCTATCGTACGGTATGGACTAAGAGATTTTGTAAATTACATCTATACATTTCTATAGAAGGGAAACAAAAAATTAGAAAGCCATAACTGAAGCGCAATAAATCCTGATTAGGAAGATTCTTGCTTGCATGATTTAATCATAATTTTTTTATTTTTGGACCCAGCAATATAGCTCTATATAAAAAGAAGTGATGTATTCCATGGGACCCCAAACGGTTCTATAAATTCCTTATATTTAAACAAATGAAAAAAATTCCTATTGAAATTTAGTTATATACAATTTTTTCCAAAAGTTCATATAATTGGTTTATTAAGTTTGTTGTGCCGCCCTTCTGGACAAATTAACTATAAAAAAAGAAATTAAAAAATATATCCTACTTTATTGTCAACTTTTTGTTTTTTTTTCGTATTTTTATTAAAAAATATTACGTTGTACAAAAGCGAAAATAAATTTTTATATTAAAACTTTGTTTGTTTTAAGCACGAAATTTTCCATAATAAATAATTAAACCTAAAATTTTCATAAAATATTGTGCAATAATATTGAAGCTTGCTAATGTCATGAAATACTTGTATTACACTTGGATTTGAACGCATTAGATCATACCAACCGGCCAGGGCTGTTGAGCAGTGGAAAACGAGTTTAAATTACTTAGGTCTAACATTAAGTTTTATAATTCTTGGATTTAATAAAATATTAAAACTTATGAATAAGTAAAGGGCATAACTTTTAGTGCACTGTAGGTAATAAAATGTTTGAACGAGAAAAAATGACTGATTTTACTTGCGTTTGAATTGCCGAATGTACAGGGTTGCGTAAATTGTACAATTAAAACAAAAAAGTACCAAAATAACGCAACAACACAACAGTCCTATTATGTTCGTCCAAGAAGTTTTTTTAAGTGCTTTTTGGACAGCCGAGTTCGCGAGTGCAAGAACGAATTGTAATAAAGAAAAAATTGTCATGAAATTAATTTGAACTATAAAAACTACTAATAATTAACAATAAATTGTAAATAATGCTTTATTTGAAAACTGTAGTAGTGTATATGTTCATTTAAAGCCTTCCAACCGGTTGAAAAGTTATGTGAAAAAATTTCTTTACCTTTCGCTCTCTCCATGCATTCGCGCATTCGTATCCAGTCCGCGCGGACCTTTCAACCGACAATCTTTTCATCATTTCGCTGCTCTGTTCAGTTCCAACGTCGAAGGTAATAGCAGCAGAAGCAAAGCCAGCGAAATCGCTGCTTCCAGTGTCAAAGTGAATCGAGTGTCGTCGTCGACGTCGTCATCGTTGACTGTTTGCCTGCTGCGTCAAGTAAATGTGAAAGAAGAATGGAAAAGTGCACATACAAATATTGAAGTCGAGGCGAATAATAGCAGAAGTCAAAGAATTGCTAAGCTGTGCAAAAAATTGTAATATTTAATATTTTTTTTTTACCATTTCCTTTGATTTCTAAAGCCGTTAGCAATAAAATACATTAACACATTTAATTTAGTGCTATATATTATGTTTAGTGAATTTGTAGATACTTAAAATATATACATACATAAAAATGTATATTTAAAGTGCATTGACGTCGTTACAAGAAATCGTTCAAAGAAAATTGCAGATTGAATAGGAAACGAAAAAATTAGTGCAAATGTGAATGTGAGCCGAAAGTGAGGCGAAAAAGTGTACAAACGTCCCCCAATTGACAGTGGCTAGGTCATACCAACATAATCTTAATCATCATTATATTCTTAGTTATCTTTAACTAATCTTTGGCGACGTCATCGTGTTTTTTTATATTAACTTTTGGGTTTGCCATTGGCGCCTCCTCACCATGAAACGTTAATTCCAACGCGGACAAGAAAATTTATTCGCCGTGTTGCAAGGCGGACAATTTTGATCCGCCAGTACTCAAAGTTCTTTTGTATTTTGATTTTTTCACTACGAAATATTTCCAAATTACAAACAAAATACGTACAGGAACCAAGTTACAACGATGGATTGCATTAAAATAAACACATAAAGCATTTCATAAATATTGCATCATCGGTAAAAATTGTACCTACATACCTTAATATAATACATCCATCATTGTTGAAACTATTGTTAAGGTAAGTCATATATTAGTTGTATACTTAGCGCATGGTTAAATTATATTATTAGTACATTACTTATCTTGCTTGTGAAACTATTTTAATAATTTTTTAAATTTATTACCATTAAAATTAAAAACTTTTTAAATGTCATAAATGGCCATCAGTGTAAATATTTTAGCCTAAATTTGAAATCTATAAAATAATATCACTTAACTGCAGTTATTTATTTATTTTATGTTGCACATAAAAACATTCTATTGAAGTTGTTGCTATTTGTTGTTGATCATCTTATTTAAATTTATGCCTCTGCCTGCTTGTTGCATTCATCACACTCATTAATGTAGTACAAACATATATGTATGTACGCCTTCTGTTGTTATTTCGTTTTTTCAATTCATTGATCAATAATCATAATGAAATCGGAAAGAAAATAACAAAAGATAGATAGACGAAACAGCAAATAACTGTAAATCGTGTACCATGATGGACTTTGGTTGGCTTGATGCAATTCACAGCATACAAAATCCCAAGCTCAGTGCAACTCAATACAGTCTTTGTTGATTACCTTTCTTTGTTTTATAAATTTCTAGCATGTTGCCTGTGCCAATAAATCATTCAATTCGTCGTCCATTTGCATACTTACACATGTATACTAGTTAGGTACTATAAGTTTGTATAAAATTTGATGTCCATCTTCTCATCAACTGTCCATCTTCTGTCTATGTACATATGTACAAACATACATACATTCATTAGTATGTAAAATGCAGTTCATTAGTTTGTCTGTACTCTTGTCAGTCCAAACGTACATACATACATACATGTATACATTAGTCTGTCGGAAGAAATCAAGCGGTACATTGTTCGTTGCAGCTGTGCGATGCTTTGACGCCGCTTATGTACCTCAGCTCCATCAGCGGTTTATTGAAGCGCTCAACGTTGTTTTTGTTTTTGCTGTTTTTGCATTACTCATTGGACACGTAGTGACTGCAACTAAGACATAAACAAGTTTTTTTTTTTATAATACTGCAATATTTTATTGAGTTTAAAAATTTAAATTATAAAAAATATTCTGTAATTAATAATAAGCTGCTCTTGGAAGCATTTTTGCTTTTGCTTTTGTTTTTTTTTTCAATACCTGATGCAAATTGTGATTGTCTCTTCATTTCATATTTCTTTTGCAGCAACTGTCAATTGGTTTTGGCTTGGCCGCAAAGTTGCCGTAATTGGTAATTGATATAATTCGGTTTCTGTTTTGTTTTCTTTTCTTTGTTGTTTTGTGTTGTACGGCAATGACATAATACGTGTTGCATAAAGTTTTTAATTTTATAATTATGTTTTACTCTTCGACCCTCATTTATATTCATTTGGAAGTAAATAAGCTTTTTTCAGCCACTGATATATTCAATTTTTTTATATTTTAATTGCAATCCTAAGGCTGTTATCAAATTAGTAAGCGAACTAGCCATTAGAATTATACTTACGGTTTTTTCCCACAGTCTTGATTTTTTGTTAACCCACGATTTTGTAATTTCTGCATCTTATTCCTTATAATTTTTACATTTTAGGTGTGTTGCCCGTAATTTAAAATTAAATATTTTTAAGCATGTAAATACAAATTATAAATGTACCTAATTACATGAAATGATTATTAGCCTGAGTTAAAAAATTTTAAGGCGCGCTAAAATTGTAAAAATAAATACATCAATAAAATTATGAAAAATAATTGAATTAATAAAAATATAAACAAAAAAAATTAATAAAATCAAAAAAAAATTATAAAAAAATAAAAAAATGAAATAAAAAAATATAAAAATTAAAAAAAAAAAATTAAAAACTATAATAATAAAAAAAAAAAATAAAAATTAAAGCAAATAAAAAAAAATTAAAAAAATTAAAAAAAAATTAAAAATTAAAAAAAAATTAAAAATTAAAAAAAAATTAAAAATTAAAAAAAAATTAAAAAAAAAATTAAAAAAAATAAAAAAAAAATTAAAAAAAATAAAAATTAAAAAAAAAAAATTAAAAAGATAAAAAAATAAAAAAAAAATAAAAAAATAAAAAAAAAATAAAAAAAAATAAAAAAAATAAAATAAAAAATTAAAAAAATTTAAAAAAAAATTAGAAAAATTAGAAAAAAATATAAAAAATTAGAAAAGAAATGTAAAAAAAATTAAAAATTAAATTAAATAAAATAGAATTAAATAAAATAAAAAATTAAGAATTGGAAATATTTAAAAGAAATATAAAAAAATAATAAAATTAATAAAAAATGAAAGAATTAAAAAAAAAATAGAAAATTAAAAATAAATATGTAAAAAATATAAAAATTAAGAGAAATGGAAAAATGTAAGCAAAAAAAAATTAAATAATCAAATATATATTTAATAAAAATAAATAACGAAAAAATTAAAAATAATAATTAAAGTATTTAATAAACTAGTAGAAAAAATTATAAAAAATAATTATAATAATTAATAATAAAAATAAATAAAGTAATATAAATATATCTATACAAATATAAAAGGAATTAAAAAAATTAAAATAACTAAATCGGTGAACAAAAAACTTAAAAGAAAGAAAAAAGTATCACAAAACTTAAAAGAATATTAAATATTATAATTTATTTTTCCAATAGATGGTGTAATTTATCTGCATCTCGCGTTGTATTGTATAAATCCGATCGGGTTCCTCTGGGTTGCGTTAGAAAGATGATTTTGTATTTAAGAGGTTTCTGATTGGTTGATTCAGTTTGTTTGAGCGTGTGTCGAAGATGGACACTAGCAAAGAGAAAAAACAATATATTTTAGAGAATATAAAAATGAAAAGGAAATAAAAAAACAAGAAATAAATAAACAATTAAAAATAAATAAAAAAAACAAGATATAAGTAAAAAATAAATATAAAATAAGGCAACAAAAAACTTAAAACGCAAAAAAACATAAAACCATAAGAAATTAAAAGTAAAAAGGAATAAAACAAAAAATAAATAGAGAAGTAAAAAGGAATAGAACAAAAAAAAATAGTAAAAGGGAATAAAACAAAAAAAAAAACAGAAAAGTAAAAAGGAATAAAACAAAACAAGAATACAAGAAAAAAATTAAAAACAAAAAAAGATTTAAAACAAACACAGCAATAAAAAAACAAAAAAAAATAATAAAAAAAGAGTAAAAAATGAAAAGCAATAAGAAAAGAAAAAGAATATAAATAAAAAAGAATAAAAAATTATAAAGAATAAATAATAAAATAAAAACAATACATTAAAAAAATATATAAATAAAAAAGTTAAGAAGAATAAAAGAATTAAAAAAAAAAATAATGCAAAAATAAAAAATTAAGATGTAAAAAACTTAAGAAAATAAGAAAAGGAATACAAAAAATAATTTAAAAATTAATAAAAGTAATAAAATTTAAAAAGAAAAATAATAAAAATAAAAAGTAAATATTTTGGAAATGAACGGTTACGATTCTGGCATTCTTAGCACCGTCATTGTGATGGGTATTCCCTTTTAACGACATTGCCAGAGTCTGTTACAACTCGATCTCAAGGCTTAAGACATTGAATTTGAAAGTATCAAGTTAGTGTACTACTTGGGTAGGAAGTAGGTTTTTTAAAAATACAACAAGATTTTGAGTCCTGATGTAGGCTATACACATGGGACTTTACCTCTCGAATCATTAATATGGACTAAAACTAAGCAGATGACATAGCATCTGTTCAACAACTCTGTACACTCTCTGCGAATGACGTCGGAAACCCGCATCTAAGCAACGAAGACCTTGAGCTATTTCGCGTAATTCTGTGCGTGTGTTCAATGCTCTGGCTATCCACATTCGGATTTTACATACCAAATTTTTTTTCTGCCGAAACAGCTATTTTAATAGAAATGTATGTTATAAAATTTCACTTTGTTTACCAGGAAACGACAAGTTTTTGATCGTAAGCAAGGCTCAAAGTATGAAACTAAACCCGTTTAAGAAAATATTGTATAATGAAATGATTTTTTTGAAAGGATCGAGGAAAGGAATCCTACTTCTCTTTGTATTTTCCAGTCAACAGAATTAACAGTATTGTTCGAGTCCAATTGTTGCGGAAGTAAAAAAAATACTAAAGGAAATCAAGAGCATACGATAGTTTGTCTTGACCGCCCGCTGCCTTAAAGGCGCGCAAACTGTAGTGGCGATCGATATTTTATGCCGCCACACACACACATCCGCACGCAAAAGAAAAACTATTACATATGCATGTGTAAGTGTGTATGAGTGTAGTAAACACCAAAAAAGGAAAAGGTAATGCCTGTTAAGTGCCTGTAAATATATTTCGTATATACATATGTACGTACCTGCCAGTCTCAGTCGCAATTGTCTCCTTGCCACTTTGACGCCGCCACTACCCGTATAACCTTCATCGTTCAGTTCGTCCGTCCTTTATGGCCACTTCTCGCTAAGCTTTGTCGCCAACATTATTATTATCATTGTCAATGGCATAGCGCGCAAGTATATATTGTAGTGTCGCTAACAATGTACGCCAACACTAAAATTCGAGTCCAACATATACATATACATATATATGTACAACCCAACCACCCTCTTTTCACGCGACACATAGACGACAGGCGTTGTAATTGTGCTCTAGTTGTGTTGACGTTGATGTTGTTGTTGTTTTTGCTGTTGGTAGTGGTGGCGACGATGGCGGTACATTGTCCGTTAATGTTGTCCTCCAACGCATAATTGTGTTTCCTCACCCTCGGCACACCCTAAGCGTCCAAAGCTCACTTCCCGTCCCCATCCTCTTCAACTTCCTTGTTCTCTTTCTGTGGCATAGTTAAAACGCAAAATGTTGTAAACTCGCTTGTGCTTGTTGGCCGCCATTCACTGGACGTACGTCGGACAACATTGACAACAGCAACAACGGCAAAGACGGCCAGTAAAGCACATACCACGTACATATACACAGTGGAGGATATCTCGCTTTTGTTGTAGTTGTGCGCGTGAAGGAAGCCAAGTGCTTATGCAATACAAAAAAATATGTATACATATGTTTATATGCCTGTATGTATACTTTCCATTATTGCCTGTTTCAGTAAGCTTACCTTGCCTCGTCGCCAACGATTGGACATCTCTCGAACTGGTTGGCCTCAATGTCACTTACGAGGCTCCCGAGGAAGAGGAAGTACAAAAATATCTTGTCCGGTTTTTGCCTTTCAAGGAAGCGCGCAAAATCAAAACTGACAACCAACATCATCGGCAAAACAAGAATGATTCAGTTACAACAAAGTGGCAGCAGCTATAAGAACAATAAAAACAATAAGTACAGCAACAGAACTAGAATAAAAACTGCAAGACGGTAGCATCTGAGTAAAAAAAGACGTTGACGACTGAAGGAAGAGGAGAAATTCCGCTTCGAAACTGGACAGCAGTGTCTTGCTCTTGAGCGCGATCGGAAAAAAAATTTTATTTTTTATTTAATTACTTGCATCATGTGTGTATAAGTACATACTCATATGCTTACGTTTTTGAAATCGGTACCCCATCAGTGGTTCTTTCAAGCTCTGTGTAGCGATGTCTACGTTTCGGAGTCCAAAATGTTCATGAATGTGATAGAATATATTATTTACCTTTACTTAACCTGTCTATTTAGTAACTGTAATAGTTGGTCAGTTACGGAAACTTCGAATGCTGTTGTAGTAACCTTAAAAGTATTCTTGAAATTGGCGAAATTGACAGACCTTGGCCGGAAAAAGTTCCAGGTAGTTCCGGTACGAAGGCCCGACTGTCACAAAAACTATTGTATCTTAGTCGCCTCTTACGACAAGCATGCCTTACCGCGGTTAAATTCTTGAACCCCTAACTCTCGCAGGAGGCAAATCTCCGAACGGTCTTTTTACTTGATGCCAAGATCGGCTTACTTAACCTCGCTTAGGAGTAGTAAAAGTTCGATGCCGATAGTCGATGCCGTCGAAATCATCTAGCGGAAGCCCAGGAAAGAGTTTCTTTAGAAGGGTAAGGAGCAAAGAGAGAGGAGTTGTAGATGTCCACGGCTCATCCAACGCACGCAACGCAGTTAAACCGTATATTATCCGGTCAAGAACTGTTTATACATTTTTCGGCGATCTAACAACGGATTCATATCTTAAATAAAAAAAAAAACACCAATCCCATTTACAGCTTATCGATAAACCTTGACCTTGTTTTCTTAAAATAACGTTGTAGGCGTCTCAGTAAAACC